GTTTTAGAAGACAATTAAAGGGATTTGGAAACTCTGAACCTCTGAAGATACACCTGAATCCTGTTAGTCCTGGACTATGAAGCCTGTTAAAGAGATACTGTTAAATACCTGTCTGTATTTTAGCAGGAAACTTAACAAATGAAGTCATGAACTACCAGTCCCTTTAGTCTTCAAATGCCATTAGACGGATCTAAGGGGGATAAATGAGCAGAAATGAGACAGCATTTTTAGCTACACAGGCAATCCCAAGTCTCTCCCTAGTCTTTGGAGAACACCAGCCTTAGAAACAGTGCTTGCCGTTAGCTGCTGAGTACAAGAGGCAGAAAGATTTTCCTGTGGGGGGAAGATTTAGTCTACCTGTCTTGGCAGGATGAGAAGATTGTGTGGCATCCATGAAGCTGAAGAGGTGGAAGGCTGCTTTTTGCTGTGTGCGTAGGTTTGCCAAACCCAAAAGCCAGCCTCAAGGCAGAAGGTCTTTTGTAACCATGTATCTTTTTGGAGATGCTGCCAGAGCTGGCGTGTCTCTGTGTTAGAAGCCCTTTTGTTAAATGCCATACTCTCAGATCTGTAAAGGCACTTGAGAATTGGGTATCAAACCTGTTATACCTAAACTAGACATATAAGCTAAATTTAGACATGTATTTTACCCATTTAGTTACAGCTTACCAATGCTAGTAAATGTAAGAAGATTATTTAATAAGTCAAAGAGTACTAGTGCACATGGGTACTCTTACCCAAGATGGCGGTGGGGTTGGCGGAGAGGCTCGTCTAAAGAAATACCTAACAGTGCCCTTTGAACGGAAGGAGTTAGCCTGATAGTTTGAACCTACTGATGTTGCATGTGTAAACAGAATATTGCATAAAGTCTAAGAGGATTTTACTCACTCCTAAAAGGTGCCCTTGGGGATTAGCAGAGCCAAGGAGCCAGCTCTACTTGCTTTTTGGGGAAATAAATAAGAGGGTTTTTTGGGGTCCATTTAGTACCAGTTGTTTGCCGTAGATGTAGAATAGTGACCCTGCTGTGTACTGTGTACCTCAGTGTTTTCACTGAGCTGTACAGAGCCTGAAGACCCCCTGATGCCATGCGGGCCCTCTATGTAGGTGTTCCAAGCAGTCCAGCTGTTATGTAAATCACACAATGCCCCACCCCCTGGAAGCGTAAGAGAATTTCTCTAGTTGAAAGCAAAATGCTCTCAGGTTCGCATTCTCTAGCACGAGTCCCTTGTGTGTCTGAGGAATGAGCTGGGATCCCCAGTTATTGATGCTGGACGCTGCACGAAAGGAATGAATCCCAGGAATTGATGGCTCCCATCATCATCACCCCAGTGCTGCCGCGGCTCCTGTGGAAGGTTATTGCGAAAGATCTCAGATTTTTGCAGGGAGGTGTTCTGAGTACGTAACATATTAAACTTTAATACCATGCCCTGGAAGGGAAAAGAATTCCTTCGTAGCAGCAGGTCCTGCTGTGTTTTAGAGGAATTTTTTCCAGTAAATCACCGTACAGGCCTTGAAATGCTGTCCTTTCTTGGGTCACACACACTTTGCTTTTGGAGACTTCACATGCTTTCCTTTACTACTAATATTTTACTCCCCCAAATATCAGCTGCTGGGAACGGTTTAATATAAGCTGGGCCAGCAAGCAACGCTTTTGTGTAGGGTTTTCTCGATGCCTTTGGCGAGGCCCCATGGCTTATGTAAGTACATTCTGGGTAGCGCTGTCACTGAAGACCCCCAAAGATAACCTCGGCTTCTCACGACAAAAATAAAATGTTGCTGTTGCTTCATATCAAGGCATTTTGTTGATGTGAATGAGGAAGTAGGAGCTACAGTGGTGCTAGTAGAGGAATTGTGTGTGTGTGTCTGTCTGTCTGTCTGTCTAGAGGGGGAGTGATAGAACAGACATTGATAGATATATGACCAGGAGAAATTCTCTCCTTTACTATGTAGCTGACCACTCTCTTCCGACAGGAGAAGGTGGTCAGTAAAGGTCTTGAGTCTCAAGTTCTTCCCTGTGAACGTTTACTAGAAGGAGATTGTGTTGGTTCGAATGAGAATGTCTCCCATAGGCCATAGAGTTGGAATCTTGGCTCCCAGCTGGTGGCAAGACTTCCAGAGATGTAGGAGGTGTGTCGCTGGAGGTGGGCTTTGACAGTTTAACCACTTGCCACACCCCTAGTGTGCTCCCTCTACTTGCTCCCTGTTGGTGGTTCAAAGCGTGAGCTCTCAGCTCGCTATACCAAACTGCCACATCTACCAGGTTTTCTAATGATGTTCAAACCTTTCACAAACTGCCCCTCCCCTTTTCCTGTCTGTGTAAGTTGTCACATTAATAACTCTGATCTTTGACCATACCCAGTCTGAGCCACCTAACCTGTACTCTGCACTACTGGTACCGAGCAGTGTCCAGCGAGCCCTAGAGCAGACAGTTCTGCTCCTTCCCCAGTTCGCTGTCCTCTTCTTTCTCACACTGGCCACGCAGCATCCTCATTTCTGATAGGACCTTCTTGGTAGCTCTGCCCCAGTGAGTTTCCGGTCGACCTGGTTGTCTGTTTTTCAATCCTGCTTAGCCAGGGGCACCTTCCAGAAAGCATCACATCATGAACTGTCCTGGAGTAGACAAAACTCCGTAACCAAGGCAACTTACAGGAGGAGGAGTTTATTTGGACCTACAGTTCCAAATGGATGAGAGTCCATCATGGTAGGTATTAAGGTTGAGCGTGTATTCCAGAAGCTCATTGGTTGGACACATAGCTCTAAAATTCACATATTGTTGGCATTTGGTGTAGAGCCTATGTTCATAGTTAGGACTAATGATGTGTTGAGGGCCCTCTGATGGCATCTGTGCTATCTAAGGAGAGGACAGAGGCTGGGCGGTGGTGGCGCACGCCTTTCATCCCAGCACTTGGGAGGCAGAGGCAGGTGGATCTCTGTGAGTTCATGGTTAGCCTGATCTACAAGAGCTAGTTCCAAGACAGCTAGGGCTGTTACACAGAGAAACCCTGTCTCAAAAAACCAAGCAAAAAAGGAAGGAAGGAAGGAAGGAAGGAAGGAAGGAAGGAAGGAAGGAAGGAAG